GGGGGGGGGGGGGGAGGTCCGGCGGTACAGAGGTCAGCCCAGGTCTGTGGACGTCCCGCTGATGGCACGAAACACATGGAGGGAGTTTTGTAACAGCGAGCGCATCATGTCCTCCTGGTAGATCTGGTGTCAAAGCAAAACACAGGCGGGATGTCAGTTCTCACAGAGGGGCAGGGGTCAGACGCACTTACACCAAACAACCACACACACTGTTTGAATTGCATGGGCAGGTAGGATGTGACCAGCTGAATGTACAGTAAGAGTGTGTAATGGGATGAAATAAAACAAAGCTATGAAAGTATTATTATTATTTAACAACTGCAACAAACATAAATATGAACAATACATCCACACACAGTCTACACAGTATTTCCTTATTGCTGTCCCGCTGTCCTTGCAACACATGTTCTGTTATATTCTTATCAGTATTTCTCTGATGTCTGTTAATTGTGTTGGTTTGCCTTGCATGGTCAACCACTGTGGCAGCTGATAATCACACCTAATTCTTTAGATAATTATTTTGTTAGAATCGCTGCAGAGCGATAGGGAGGTCTAGCCAGCAGGTTACCAACGTGGCAAGTTGAGTTCATAGTGCCAGTTGTATTTATTCCAACCAACAGCTGTTCCTGCAGCAGAAATGTATAGTAAATTGTCCATGACTTCTTGCACTCCTCCTAACTACACTGAACAACATTATAAACACAACACTTTTGTTTTTTGCCCGCGGCGGCATTCCATAACGCATGAGCCTGAACTCAAGATCATAAGACTTTCTCTAATGATAACCACACAAGGCCTAATTTCATGAATCCCAGATATTGTTCCATCTGGTCAAGCATCTGTTGTTGTGAGCACTCTCTCTTTTCCGAGGATATCTAATCCAACCTACACGGTTGTTTCGGCTCATGATGAATGGTGGCAAAAACAAAAGTGTTGCATTTCTAATTTTGTTCAGTGTAATTAACTCAAGCGTTGTCATTCTTTTGTGGTGTATGTATGTATGTCATTACAATTAAAAAGCCCAGAGGGAAGTATTTAATCTGAGCGATGCCAACACTTGGCAGGTTTAATTTAACACTGCTTGTGTAACACATCATGTCGCTTGTCGCACAGAATGATCCATTGACACGTCGTCTGAAGGACCGAACAGGTTGCCAGTCAGGCAGCAATTACAAAATGTTTCTTCATTTATTTCATCCTCATCTCACATCGCATTTAATAATGAAAATAAAAAAAATGTTTCAGTTGCTTTTTAACACTTTTTAAAAAGGTTCATTAAATGGAGATTATATTGTGGCTTAAATATAAAATGGCTGAAAAAAACATTTATTAAAAATACACATTCTTAAAAATGCCTATAAGTTAGTTAGAAAATCATCTGATAAAGGCCACAAGCTGAAACGTATCCATTTCACATTAAGTTCTTTATACTTGCTGGAGTTTTGTTCGATTCAGACTTGCTGGTTATAAGTCATGAACATGAACACTGGTGTACACACTCAAATAGATGTAGGCACTTTTAAGTGGTCACATGTTTTTTAGTAAGTGGGCATTCGCCCCTGCTCTGTCTGAGCCTAGATAAAACCAGGCTAAAGTCTGTTGCACATTCCCATAGATGTGAGACTTCACAGTAACCAGACCTCAACTAAACATTTCTGAGAAAGGCCAGACTTTTGGTAAAATTACAAAGCACTCTGGATGAAGATCTATCTCTGAAATTCTACTTCTGTAATGTCTGGTGTTTGCTTACAATGAGACTACTGGACTCAACGCTGAGTGTTTATTTGTATGCCTGATGATATATGAGTTATATCTTAGTTATATCTGGATTTTATTTGGGAAATGCTCGAGTATATGATTCAGCTGTTTAATCATCATCTTTTTTCTAGTGTGCTGTCTGTTGTTTCAACATCCTCATTTTTGTTGTTTCTGTATCACCTCTATGAGCAGGAAATGACCCCCGCTTCCATTCATGGCTGTCTCCGTAAAAAACATTCACTTCTTTCATTTTCTAGTGGACAGCTTCTAAAACCACAACTGCATAACCTGACACTAAGAAGTGGATATCTGTCAGTCTTCTGGTTTATTTTTAGAAATAACTCTACTACCAGGAAGTAGTTTTTATAGGTTGACATGCACATGTTCCAACCCTGACAAAAAAACTACTGTGTCTTCACGCAGAATTTAAATAATGACTTGGTCTCATTTGCATTGTTTTCAACACCATCTGTGGTGCTTGTGTTGGCCATAATCTAAAAAGGAAATACATTTTCATGTGTCTCTGTGATCTAAAAAGTTTGTCTGCCAAATGTCTACCACATCTGACAAACCACCTTCAACCCCTGAATGTCTTGTTTCCATTGAAATGCTTTTTTTGCCTGATTAATTCTCTTTTCTTGACACCTGCTGGTGCAGTGTTCAACTTCAAGTGGGATGTAGAAGCCTGAGGCCTTTACAATGAAGTAGGATACATCTCATGTCCAGGAGGAAGACTTAAGACTTATATGTTTATATGTCATAATGTCTTTAACTGAGAAGGTGCAAATTCACAATGAATGTGTTTCAAACAAGGACATAAAAGACAATGTGGAGCTTGAACACACTTTATGATCACATTACCTGTTTTTCCTTAAAGCTAAAGGTCAGCACATTGGAGAAAAAGAGTAAGACCAGTTAGTTTGGTAAAATCAGAGCAGCTGACACAATAACACATCTAAGACGATCATTACACCAAGACGTGGTGGTTGTGTTGCAATACAGCTGTGACACATTCCTCTGACGCTCAGAGAACAAAGTACACAACCATAAAAAGCAGAAAGCACTGAACCATGTCCCTGTTGAAAAGGTGATTGCAAAATGATGTTGAAGTTACAGAAGTTACAGTAACTTCTCCAGGTACTGAGCTGGATCCATCTATTTTGTGAGTAGCAGTTTTTGACCAGTGAAGCTTAACAGGGGCAGCTGAGCGTGCAACACTGGGAATCAGTCCCGGAAATGTTCAAGAGGAAATTCAGTTTTCAATGATTCCTGGACGTTACATTAACTCAGCAAATCATTATGACTCACTTCAAGTTAAGAATCACATTAAGAATCACACCCAATGTTATGTTATTGACAACATCTAGAAACATCAGGCAAGGCTGGAGTTCATATTTATGAAACCCAACTAGTGGTTAAGGCAGTGCTAATGGTTCTATGTCAGTAATGTTCATGCCCCTAAAAGTGGTTCACTCAGGTTTTCTCCTCGTTGCTTTTTATAATCTGCATTGTAAACACGTCGTAAAAATAAACCGCAGTGCAATGAACTTCAACTTTGTGGCTGCTAAAAGTAATTATGGACGCAATGAAATAATGGCAACCCATCAAAAAGTATTACAAAAATTTTTTTGTATGTGTTTAGTTTTAGTTGGCAATGGACACCAGAAGTTTAAAGAAGATTCATGTATGATGTGATAATGTCATTAACATGCCTTTTACATGGCTGACTATAATCAGGAAACGAAAGAAAAGCTTCAAATCAGGTAGAATTTATTTCATTTTACAGAATCTGATTCTAGAAAGTGAAATTGTTCGTCGTGATCATTTTGCATGTATTTATTAACCACAGCAATAAGACGTTTGGTGCTGTATGCATGTAGATAAGAGAATTTCAAATCCACTTTGCATCTGGTAAAACCGCTTTTGAGTACAGTTTGTCAGCAGTTGAGTTTCAAACAAAATCACACTTAGGTTTATGTAGGCGGTGCATTACTAATATTTCCAGGACAACAAAGAACATTCCAGAATATTTGGTCATTTTAAACAGTTTCCAGGTCTCCATGATACATAGTCTGGACATGTGGGAACTAATGCAACAGTAATATGCTGATTGGACAACAAGAAATCCCCCCCTTATTTTTTACTTACCTCTAGTGGTATCTAGTCATGCAGATACTTCTGTATTATTTTGTCGAGATGTTAAGATACATACTGTCTTTACTGCCTCCAACCACCACACTACAGATAACTTTGTTTATGGTGCCTACAGTAGAAACAAAAGAAAAGTCTCTTTTCTTTCAAAGAATCTATCAACCTCCGCTGTGTTAGAAAAAAACTCACGGATACTTCCAACTCTGGACACATCAAACCAGAACTATCTGTATGGTAAGATATCACTAGAGGTAAATGAGAGAATACTTTATTACACTGAGTGAACTGACCCTTACTTTTATGAACATGAGCGATTATGTCTGAATTCTTTTTTTTAGACTATTAAATGAAATAACTGACCAACATACTCCAACATCCTCCAACGAATAAAATGCACACACAGGCAGAATGGTGCTAATGGTTAAAGTGATAAGGGACAGGATTCGCTATTATTAGTGGCAGAATTCTGATTTGCCACACAGGAGGCCCGTGTTTGATTTTGAGAGCAACCTCTGACCAACAGCACAATTAGTAAACCACCCACTGATTTCTGGGTGTGTTGTGAAAGGGCTATGGTCCTGTCAAAGACATCAGAGAGACACACCATCAAAATTTTACAGTTATCTGGGCTACGCCTAGAAAAAGAAACATTACCTGCTCGTGGATGATGTCAGATAGCTCCTTTACCATTTCCTTGAAGTTGGCCTTCAGGCCCTCGTGATACTCAAATTGGTCCTCTTTGATTATACGCTCGTTTATGTCCAGAGCTATACTGCAAGCCTGGACAAAACGCCTGCAATTATTAAAAACAAAATAACAAACTTAATAACAAGTAAATAATTGAAAGATGGAACAACATTATACGACAACATTAAAGACAAACCCACAGAAAAATTAAAATGACAATCAAGCAGCTTTGTTAGTTTTCAGTAGGTACCTGAAAATGTCCTTGAGGTCTTTTACTTTCTTGTTGCCAGACTGGTTGGATTTACTGTCATCCAAGAACGCTCTGGCGTAGGCCATTGGACCTGCATTCACCTGTAGCAAAACATGCCTGGAAGTGTTAAGCATTCTTACACTCTCACCAGTATGCACACTGATTACAATCAGCACCTACAGTTTGTGCTTTCTCATGACCACAGACCAGTTTTGTGCAATGACATAAGTTCATCTTTCTTCTTTACAAAAATTGGATGTGTAGTCAAATTTGACCAACAAACAGTTATAAAAGCGAGGGATTTGCCATGAAGCAAGTGTGTTTAGTTTTCACTCCGCCGTGTCTCTGGCTGGCTGAAAGCTTTACCTGCACAGAGACGCAGCCCTGCAGTTTGAGCTGCAGTTGGATCATGTCCACCTCCTGGCTGGAGCAGAGTTTGGTCAACTCGGCTGTTCGTGCCTTCATCTCATCTATGGCCACATCCACCGGCTTAAGCTCCACCTTCTTCTCATCCACCACCTCCACGCGCTTCTTCACATACGGGAAGGTGTTGGCAGCTGAGGGCAAGAAAAACTGTCTGGATCATATGTGCTGATATAACAAACAGCGAGATAAGGTGAACACAGGTGACATGTGCTTCTTAAAGATCCAGTGTGCAACATTTAGGATTTTCATAGGTATGTTTTCATTAGTGTATAAGCACCTGAAAATAGGAATCACACTTCGCAACCACAGACTGTATGTAACTGCTATTGTAAGCTGCGGTAGTGGGCCAATCACATATCGCATTAAATCAAACAATGCTTGCAGTAATTGGCTGTTAGCATGCAAATATACATTTTTTTTCTAGATCTGCGTACAAAAAGGGTTGACTGGAGAAATTTCAATACTACACTGCAAAAAAGCAATCCCAAGAAACTAAAATAAGCTTTATTTCTTGGAAATGAGTCTTATTTTTGTCTAAAAAGAATAATAACCTTCTTAAGCATGTTTCGCATTAGAAAAGTAATCTGGTATTAAGAATATATCTCTTAAACCCTATTCGCATGGGACTAGTATTACCTGGGGACCTCATGTAATTTGTAATAATTGTGGAGTCCCGTGCAAATCTGCCATGTCCGTAATTTTGTAAAGTAAAATCCACCGCATACCTGGACCATATTTCGCCAAACACGAAGTCATTGACAATATTGTCCTGCGAATCGGCATCCTCTGTGATTTGGGGTTGTTTTTGAATTTTTTTTTTGTGTTTTCCGCGCCTTTTTTCTGCCTTTTTCCCGGTTGAGAATTATGGAGGCTGCATTGGCAATTATAAATGAGAGTTTTGACAGCATTTTGATGTTTGTGGGCATGCTGGGAAAACAGCAGACGGACACTGATGTGAGAAAGATGTTCGAGCCGTTCGGCAGCATAGAGGAGTGCACGGTGCTCCGCAGGCCCGACGGTACCAGCAAAGGTAACGTCAGATCAGTAACAGACTGTTACGCAGAGCCGCACGAAACACAGACGTGGTGGGGTTAATTAACTAAATCACATTGAGGTCCCAGGTAGTAGTCCCGTGTGAACAGGCTGTCTTAATAAGATATTACAGCTAATATTGAGCTATATTGAACCAGTAAGCAGTTACAAAAACCGTTTACATAATATCCCAGCAAAGGAACAAGATTATTTTCTTCATTTCAAGACCACTTGCACAACTTCTCAGTTTAAGAGAAAGTAGTCTTGTTCCAGCTGTTTAGTGTTTAATTGTTCAAATAAAAAATGATAAAAATAAGAAGTTTCTGGTGACCTAATTAAGGACAAAGTCACTTATTTAAAATGTTGTTTTTTTTTGCTAATCATTAATCTTAGATTAAGGTACACATTCTTAAATTCAGCTCAATAGTGACCAAAATACTAATTTCAAGAAAATCTATCTTAAATAACTACGTCTTCATGGATGTAAGCACAACTTGCTTACATTTTTGGCATTTATTTTCGAGTTTTAAGGCCCAGTTTTTTTGAGTTTTCAGTGGCTAGATTTTCATGCTAGTTTAAATAATTCTAGCCAAGCAAAACTGTCTTGCCCCATTGGCAGATTCTATTGCTCAATACAAGAAAAATGGATTATATTTCTGAATATTTCACTTGTTTGTAGAAGGGCTGTTGTTTGTAGAAGGACAGTGTCCTGGTGTATTCCAGTTGTTGAGTACTGATACCCAGCCCTATGGGCAAGCAACAAATGTGGCAACAAAAGCACGCTATAAAGGTTTCTGTAGCAATTGTGGCAACACAATATTTGTTTCCCTGACAAACAAGCAGCAGAATGAGCGAAAGCAGCAGTTGTTTATTTTCTGCTCCACAGCGTGTTCAGTGTATGTTCACTATGAGAAGTACATGTATTAGTTTAGCTAGAGAGCAACATCGCTCAAGGGTGCTGGTCAACGATAGGAGATAAACTGGAGATACTTGAATAGGGTGTGGCTGGAGCGATCCCGACATCCAGCTGCCACTTGCTACAGTAACCAGCTGTTTTAATGTTTACTATAGGAGGTCACAGCACTGCACACAATACAGAGCAATGGCTGTGCAGTAATTATGACTTCAAATGGATGAGATGGAAAACTGAGGTCTTGCTTTGATGTGATAACAACGAATAATGTATTATTAATGTGGCATAGTTTGTCTAATTGTTTGGTTTTTAACTTTAGACTGTATGAAGTTTATCCAGCAGGTTTGATGAAGCTATCAGCTATAACAGGCGTTCTTTCCTTTACAGCAAAGTGTTTGTGAACGAGGGTGTGTCATGTACTTTTGAGAACGATCCTCCTCTTGCACTGCTCCTCCACACCGCCGTGTTTTTTGCCCGACAGCGTGTAAGGAGTCTCGAACACAAACTGGTTGATGTTGTGGCACTTCTCAAAGTCAGTCTTCTTCTCCGGTGCCTCCTTTTCCTCGAAGTACGGCTTCACAAACGTCACCTGGACATAGGCGAACTTGGGGTCCAGGTCTTTGGGGTTTACCTGTGGGAAAGAAATCATGTCAGAGAGTCGGGTAATGTAAGTGAGGCTTAAATCCACATGAAAACGGATTGCTGAGGAATGATGAATCCAAAAGCAACTATAATTTTCTTAAAACTCGGGAGGGAAATAAAATATCCCAATTCTCAGACCTCAACAGACCACAAAAGTTTCTGATGCCAACACAATGAAACCAGTCAAATAAATCCAATTTGAACCTTCCAACTGAGGCTTTACAATAATTCCATGGAAGAGAATCTGAACATTTCCCACCTTTTGATAAACAACTGCTATTAAATAAATAAACACAAGAGCAAAGGACTGCATTCAACAAATGTAGCAACCTGCCATTTAAGGTCAAACACCACACACATCAAGAATGTTTATTCCAAACGTCTCCCACCTTTTCCTTCCTCCATTTATCTACTGCACCTTGTTTGAGTCCTGAATTATCTTGACGTTTTCCGGCCCAAACTTTTCCCCGTAGAGTGTCACCAGCCGCTGAGAGATCTCGGACAGGCCAGTGAGTTTGGGCTCTTTGTAAATGTACTCCTTCCCGTCCTCCTCCTCGAAGAAGCCCTGTGCAAAATACAGATGTACAGTCAGATAGTGCATCTGAAGTGTGCTGGAGCAAATATGCCTTAAAAGAACCCATTTGGTTCAGTGATAAATCTCAACTAAGTGCTAATATCATTGTAAAGATGTGCTATAGAACAAATGCAAGTACACCCATGGGGGTCCCCAAACAACTGCTCTAAGCAACATTTAACAAATGTCCATATTTCTAACACTGGAAGGGGTTTTGTAACATCTCCAGAGTGTTCATAAACATGTGCTTGGGCTATCCAAACAAGTGGATTGAGATGTGTTAGGACAGCCATTACAACATTAAACGATGGCACTGTGAAATCTATGGACACTGGATCAGAGATGTGATGTACTATTTCTGTTGGATCTGTATCTGTTTATTATTACTATGATTGTCATTTTTCCTGCATTGTTAAAAAAAGTACCATGTTTAAAAATTTTTAGAAACTTAGAAACAATACTTTTTACTGCAAAATATTAAGCATTGCTTGTAGTTTTCTAAACAAAGAGATACAGCAAATATGATGATGGTAATATAAATAGTTTAATCGCCAGAGAGGTGAGTGATTCCTCACCACACCCATTCAATTTATATTCCCAATCCTTTTGCGTACAGCACGGCTCTGCATTCCACAGGTGCATTTCAAGAAAGCCCCTCCCTGTTTGTGCACACCTGATCTGCATCATTGCAAATGCACTTAAATAAAAAGAGCCCCTGCTTGTTGACCTCACCTGTCCGTAAAAAGCCACTCTGAAGTACGTCCCAAGCAGCCTGCGGCCAGATTGTATAACCTCCATTATCTTATTGTATGCCCTGTGCAGAGTGTCGTAAAGTCGGCTTAGTTTCTGGGAAAACAAGATAAAAAAAATAAAAGTTGGGATTGTTTTGTTTACTAAAGCAACTGAGCAGGACGTGCAGAAACAAGCACAAGCATTACAGTTATGTAACGTCCCAACAAACATAGATGATGTCAAGTCAAGCAAGAATACGGTATTATATAATTTTGTGGTTTTCTTCCTGGAGCTTATTTAAGCTTACTTATTATTATCATACCCAGTTACAGAAAATGATAGCACTATTGTGTCAGAGCAAGACGCTTTAAATGTTCCTCAATTTTCTACCTCATGGTATGACCGAGGTGATACCAAAACAAGTACCAGGTACTATCCACAACTTTTGAGAATGTCAGTCGTGTCAGGCTGTAGTATCATGCAGTGGAAACACGGCATTAGGGCTGGGCGAAATCAGATACCTCGTTATTTTTTATATCAGTTTCAATACTGTGACAATTTTGTAGGGATGACTATTGGTGCTTTCACAAAATATTAGCACAATGAAGATTTTTGATAAATAATCCCCAGTAGTGTGGATATAATGACTACGTTAAAGGCAAATAATAGAACAGCTAGAACAGTCTGGTAACTTCAGAACGTTACTTTACTGTAATGCAGCCTTTAAAAGTAGGAAAAAATAAATACTTATATATTGCCCAGCCCTGTACGGTGTACACCTTGTTATAAACTGGCACATCTGTGGCTCAGTGCATGCAGGGAGGTTGAAGGCCCCCGTGGCCCTGAGCAGGATAAGAAAAAGATTGGATGGTTGGAATGTTGCTACCACTTCCCTCACCCTGATGTTGTTTTTTTAGAGCAAGGAAGAACTATTAAAAGCACGGGATGACAACAAGTTGCATTCCAAAAAGGTCAGAAAAAATATGCAGTTGGAACAGTCAAACTGGTATGATGTTGTGTAAGTACAGTGGCTGCTCTATGTGGTCGCAAGCAATCCAGTCGTTTGACCTGCTGGCAGATGCTGATCCTGTGAGCACAAGTCAACAGGTCAAAAAAGCCAAGGAGTTAAACGATGGGTGGAAAATAAATCGGGTAAACTTTACACAAAAGTATTTACATCAAGAAAATCTTTCTACAAACCAAAGCCCTTACATAGGTGTGATTACTCGACCCTCATAAGCAGAAGGACATGGATAAATCACTTTGCAAGGAAAGGCAAGAAACAATGGCTGTATGTTTACGCATCTGTCTGAGTGTAGGGATGTTACAACAGTACCTCGTACTCGTGCCGCTTCTCATAGATGGGGATGATGAGTTTGGCAATGTGTGTGATGAGCTCATAGCGTTCAGCTTTCCACAGTGCCTCCACGCACACCTCAAGGTGTTCCACCAAGACTTCCTAAAAAGGGGTAGAGACAGAAGAGCAGATGGACAGATTTTTCCAAAGTGATTTTAACAAAATAAGGTTTCATATTAGGATTAGCTGGCCACATTTTAGATTTGTCAGTTCTAGTGCTGATAACTTACAGTACTGTTACAGAAATGATATATTTTTATTTAGAGAAATAGAAACAAAAGAGGCCAAAGTTCTCAAATGTTAAATCTCATCTTAACACAAGGAGGCATACATGAACTTTGCCTTTATAGATAGGAAATTGCAGTCAAGCTGGGAAATTGCAGTTTTTATTTAATAATTATCAAAATTACAACCTGATTAAGTATTATGAAACAGACCAGATATTTGTGGTTAGCTCAGGGCTTGACCTTTCACACACCAAAAAAAAAAAAAAAACGTATTGAGCTTTAATACCAGCCTTAAAAAAGTCAGATTTAATGACAATCGTAGTTGTTTGTGAGTTCAGATCGAGGTTTCTTGATTGACTAACTACTGACCCTACTGACTAAGTTATTTTTGTTACTTCACAATGTCTTGTGTAAGAAAGCAAATCCTGCGCAGAAGGCAGCACCTCTGTGTAATAGACATCTTGCATTCCGGTGTCTTCCCTCATGGCGGCCTCCTCTTCGATGTTCAGGGTAATCTTCTTGAAAGCTGCAAGGCCGCTGGGGAACAGCTCTAACAAATGAACAGTAAAGACGAGGTAAAACAAATAAACTGGTTCACATAAATGTCCATAAGTCTCTCAGCATTTGGTTCTGAAAACAGTGAGAATCTGATCTGTGCCAGGCATGACAATATGTACAGTTACATTCTACCTATTTTTGAGGAGCTGTTTTGTTCACATGTTGCAGAGAAAGATAAAATAGTAGCCCATGTTTGGCAGCTCGTGACTACCTAATACATTATGATGACAGACAACGCATACACACTGCTGCCAGGTCTAGACAACAAACAAATTCTTTGAGACACCAGTATTAGCTGTCAGCCAACTGTTACACCTCACAAATTATCTTTGTCCGTTGGCATTCCCCAAGAATAAACACCAGCTCACATTTGTTTACAGGACTATTTGACAGCAGGTTTTGCATTAGATAAAAATGACCATAAAAAAAAATAAAATACTGCATTGTGAGGCTTTGTTGTTGTTAGATGTCACTGTGCTGGTATAATAGTTTAGGTCTGTCGAGTGTTTGCGTGCTGTATCTAACAACAGTTGGTGAACTAACTAGCATGTCTTTTATCACCAGTGCAGACTTCCTGGAGAACACCGCAAAGAGCGTGCATGTTTGCTGACGAGGATAGGTGCATTGTATGGTTGCATGTACTTGCTCTAGCCATGTCCTGATAGTATCGGTTAAGAATGTAATTTAACTCCTGAACTGTGGTGACAGTTTGACATGGCCACAGTCTTTCCACACCTAACTAATATTTGTGGTTAACAGCTTGGTGTTCAGTTTCAGTATATGCGTAAGCCACAACTAAAGGTAATAGCATTTTGTGTGTGTGTGTAGATGGACGGAGTGTCTTACTTTTCCTGTGCAGGTATTCTGCAACCAGTGCTGCCACATGAACATAACACATGGCTGCCTGTGGAGACAACAACAACAATAAACAGTCAACATTTTTGTTGCAGAAGCACCAAAAGTACAAACGTGCAGCTTTTTATGAAAGTGAAATCGCAGTCAGCAGCTCTAATCGTAATATTGGCAGTCACTGTAAGGTCATTAGAGTGCATCCCTATGACTAATATATTGGGAGTGTAAAGAATTCATTGTGTTTAGCAGTTCAACTGTACATTTTTCACATTGTGAATCATACCCACAATCCAAACTGGCCAAGAGGAAGAGTAAAAGGTTCATCTGTTTTTATTCCTACAGTCAAACCAGAGTATCCCGTATCTTATACTCATAGGCATATTTAACTTTACTTACAATGACTGATGGAGATGATTCTGCTTTTCTGATAAGTATGCCCCAAAAGTGACATAATATTCACTGAAACATATATTTTTATGAATGCTTATTTTTCTCTTTTTCTATACAAGCACTGTTAAAGAATTATGTAGAATGAATAAAATAATTACAGCAGAATAAAAAGTGAAATAAAACAAACAGAACCAAATAAAACATAAACAAAAAATAAAAACAAACTTTAAAGGACCACTGTGTAGGATTTGGGGTTTAAAGTTTGGTTTGTCCCTTCTGGTCTACTGTAGAAACATAGTGGTTCAACATGGCCGCCTTCATGGGAGACAACCCTAGGGTAACAATAATAAATCAAGTATGAACGAATAAATAAAAACAAAAACAAATCAAATCAAATGTTTTAGGATAGCTCTGCTGCGCTGCCGTCTTGTCTTCCCTGTCCGTGAAAACTCCTCAGCCTTGCTTGTAATAAAAAAAGGTTAAATAAATAAATGCACTTGAACTCAAGCTAACAGCGTATTAGCTGGACCACCCAGGTTTAATCTCTGCATCCATCCTGACCTTTGACTTTCTTCCGGAGAGGAACAAGAGAGTCTTCCTTCAATAAAACATCTCACTGCTATTACAACCCGATTAAAGTAGAGCATTATATTATCCTACCCAACATTTTTTTTTAATCAAGCATTGTGAATGGACAAGTGTTCATAATATAGTTATATAAACTTGAACTTTTAACTTCAGTCTCCCTTTGTTTACACTGACATAGATGTGTTTATTTCTTAGTGAACAGAAATAAACTTTTTGTTGTAGCATCACCAAAACAAAATGACATATCTTGACCTGACTTCTCTGTTTAATGTCTGATATTGTAAAAACATTGTAAATGTTGTACTGACAAAAGAAAATACTCTACTACTGTATTGTGGTATGTTGTTATTCAGTCTGGGGCTCAGGTCCAAGAAGTATAACAATGTAAACTATGTAGGTATTATTGTAGTGAAATCTCAATTCCAACCCTTGCCAATGAAAATGATCTTTCTAGGAATCCACCTCCAACACTTCTCTTTACTTTGAACACTGTTGTTTGCTTTTGGTGTTGCCACTCAGCAGGGGAGTATGCATTTCACTAAAGAAAACATTTCCTTCTGTGTTTCGAACCATTATTCATTAAACTTAAAGTTCGGTATGTAATAATGGCAAAACCGGATTATGTTATCAAACAGCCAGACCTGGACCTGCATGTCCTGTTGGTGTGCATTATTTAGAGAATCGAAAAAACAAAAAACAATAAGGGCTCTATCTTGCACTCAGCGCAATTGACTTTGTACACTGGCGCTTGTATAATTCCTATTTTGCATTCGACGCACATTGGAATTTTCCCTCCACCGACGCACGTCCTTAA